ATAGAGAGACCTGGTGTGTTGTTCTCCACAATGTAGGCCTCATATGAGCTCCTCTCAAAGACAGGCGCGTTGTCATTCACGTCAGAGATCTGTAAAGTGAGAGTGACGCTGCTGGAGAGGGAGGGCACTCCCTCATCAGAGCAGCTCACTGTGATATTATATTGAGACGCTGCCTCTCTATCCAAAGCTACCTCTGACACTAAACTATAAAATCCACTCATTGTGTTTAGTATTTTAAAAGGAATGTCATCATTAATGTTACACTTCACCTCTCCATTCCTCTCAGAATCAGGGTCATTCACGCTCAGCATAGCGATGACAGTATTGTCAGGAGAATCTTCTAAAATGGTGTCTGATTTAGACAGTATTTTCAGCTGAGGGCTGTTGTCATTAACATCAATAACATCAATTAGGATCTTACTGGAATCAGAGAGTCCACCGTTATCTATAGCCTCGATATCAATTTGGAAGAGCTTAGTTTTTTCATAATCAATCTCACCGATCAAAATGACCTCTCCAGTTTTTCTATCAATCTTAAACAAATCAGATAAACGACGTCTGCTATTAGAGATTGCGTATGAAATTACCGCATTCGAGCCTCCGTCTTTGTCAGATGCACTGACAGTAATAACACTGGTGCCCCTCGGAGAATTCTCGGTTATAGTTGCCTTGTATACAGACTTAGTAAAGACCGGTGCGTTGTCGTTTGCATCTAACACGTTCACAATTATCTGCATTGTTCCAGACATACGGGGCTTTCCACCATCTAGAGCCGTTAATAACAGTGATATCTGCTCCTGCTGCTCTCGGTCCAGTGGCTTCTGAAGCACCATCTCTACCTTTTTACTCCCGTCAGCCTGATTCTCTAGCTTCAATGCGAAATTGTTGGTTGGATTAAGGGAATAGCTTTGGAGACCATTTTCACCGATATCAACATCGACGGCTTTCTCCAGTACAAATTTAGACCCGGTAACGACCGACTCGCTGATTTCAAATCGTTTCTCGCTCGATGCAAAGCTGGGAGCGTTGTCGTTTATATCTGTTATTTCAATCGTTATGCGGAACAATTCCATCGGGTTTTCCAGAATCATCTGCAGATGTACAGCACAAGGCGTCGTCTCTCCGCACAACGTCTCTCTGTCTATTCTCTCTTTGATGACGAGGACTCCCCTCTCTCGGTTCAGCTCGATATATTCTGTATTGTCTCCCGAATGAATACGAGCTCTGCCTGATTTGAGCCGTTTCAAATCCACACCTAAATCCTGAGCAACATTGCACACTAATGAACCTTTCTCCATTTCCTCGGGAATGGAATAGCTGACCTGCCCGTACACCGACGCTACAGACAGAACCAAGAGGAACAACAGTACTTGCCGTAACATTATTTTGTCGGAGTATTCCTGTGTCCTTTTAATAAAACTGTAATCCATATGAATATCCTTAAAATGTCCGATTGTATTTCCAGGAGGTTACCAACAAAAATAGCAGCTTTTCATTTCCGTGAGCAGTTTGCTGCTTAAATGAAGAATGGGGATTGGTGCCTGTTTTATTGTCTAACATGTCACAGACGAAGGGGGAGGTACAGTTACTAGCCCTATCTAAGACTGCCACACTCTGGCCAATAGCGGCCCTTTCTGTTCAATTCACCAAACAGCAAAAGTTGGGGTATGTGGAATGAGAAAGTGGCTAGTTATGCAAAA